AAATCGACTTGATAGCAATCAGAAAGCATAATTCTCAAAGCCTCGTGAGCCAGACCAAGCTTGTCGTGGCCGCGATCTTGCTGTCCAAGTGGAAAGCACAGACACGGGTCGGGTCACAGCCAGCTCTCGTCAAGGTCGCTGTCATGGCCTTATCGGGGAACTTGGCTGCCCACACGGATGCGGATGGAAGGAGGCAAGTTCTCCAAGGGCAAAGGCAAGGGCAAAGGAAAGAACTGACTGGATTCTGACTTCGAGTCGGAACAGCCGGTCCACGGACCAGCGCCTCGCGGTCCTGTTGGGCCCGATCCTTTCGCAGGTCTCCAACCTGCTGTCATCTTCACTGTTGACAAGTATGGTTGGTTTGCCGATGGGACTCGTGACCGTAACTGGGATCATGAAGTTGAGGTGATTGATTAAGTTCTTGCATGGAGCTCTTTTCACACGACAATGTCTTTACTGCCTTCCATTTCAAGTGAAGATGCTTTTCTCAGGAAAAAGCATTCCCGAAAACATATTTGCCCAAAAGACCATAGAAATACTTGTCACTGGAGAAGATACTCTGATCAGATTCATATGCGGTTATCTGTACCCGCAATCTATGCCACTGCTGGCATCAAGTGGAGCTAAGCTGTACATCTTTTTGTGCAGTAAGCTTTCTCCATCTGGGGAGGGAACTGAATGAGCAAGAGATTGAAACGACGATTCGTTGGCGTTTGTGTGCGTCTTCTGCTCAATTCAAAAACCTTTCTCCAGACTGAGTTCGTTTGGGCAATAACAGGCACGGTAGAATGTCGACTTCACGGCCATGCACCTCTATGTGTTTTTAAATTTATGCCTGTTGTGACACTGAATGTTACGTATCCAGGTGCCTGTCTGTGTCACGTGTCACTTGCATGTAACATGTATCTATCCATGTCTGTTGCTCAAGGTTCTAGCGGAGTGCCGATTTACAGCTGTGCGCCAGTAAACATGCGCTTGCCTGTGTTCATCTGTGTTCCTGTACTCTCTGCGAGGGGATACACGCCCGGGTTGCATCTCAGCGGAGGGGCTTCCGCAGGCCCACTCTGCAACAGCAGAATGTCTGGACGTGGGGCTGCCAACCCGAAATCCAATCTTTAGGGGGTGGTGGGGTTCTACGCCGACCGACGGGGAAACAGGGAATCTTTGTGGAAACCTCTGACCGCTTCGGCCGGGGCCAAGGCGACGTTTTTTGTGGTTGACCTTCCATCAATCAAATCAAGGCAAAGGGCTCCAGTGACAAGCCTTGCTCAACGAAGCCAAGTCGCTGGAGTGGATGCCGTGGCGGATCACCGCTGTGTAGCTGCCACAAGCGACATTGTATCTCATACCTGCTGTGCATTAATTGAACAATGGTGTATTTCTAGCGATGTGCAACGTTAAGACTTGGAACCAGAAACTTGAGATTCGTAGTGGTGATCGTTGCAGGGCGATTGTCACTTGCTGCATTTTGTGTAAGTCGACACCTGGCTACAGTGAACGTATAATCTTTGACATTGAGCATTGAGCCCGCAATTTCTTTCAGATCATCGGTATTGCAACTAGACGAAACTTTGATTGCTTCCAACACAAATTGTCAAGGCCCTGAATCCTCTTTAAGATAGGAATGTAATGAAAGGATGCAGAGTAATTGGTAATTAGGCAATTAGGTTGTTATATTCAATATGACATAATGACATATGCAGATTAAAACGTGGAAAGGATGACAAAACCCAGAAGACAACAAAGCAAAAATCCCCCAAAGAGATTTCTTGCACTGACAATCGGCACAGACCGTGCGTGGTAATATACCTGCCCACACGCACATAAGATACATGCCTACATACATACATCGTAGATATCGATTCACACGACATGTGTACACACATACACATGCATAGATGTTTGTTTGCATTGCTTTGCTTTGCTTTGCTGTTGCTTTGCTGTCGCTTTGCTGCTGCTGTTGCTTTTGTTTTTGTTTTTGCCTACGCGCTTGCGTTTGCATTTGCGTTGCTTTGCCTTGCGTTGCTTTGCTTTGCGCTTGCTTCGCACACACACACAGAGAGCAATGTGCGCATGTTCATGTATAGATAATAGATACATAAATAGATAGATAGATAGATAGATAGATGGATAAATAGATAACCAGATGAACAGATAGATAGATGGATAGGCAGACAAAGAGAGAGAGAGAGAGAGAGAGCGAAAGAGCGAGAAAGCTTCGGGACGACGGACGACCGGGTGACTACCGTTACCGCAACACCGTCACAAACTAGCCGTCCGACCTCCAGCCCCTCCGGACCACCGCCAAAACCGGGGAGATCCAGGGAGCACCAGTACGTCAAACGCGCCGCAGAGTACACGAATACCCCGTGCAGCACGAACACAGCCAGTGTCGCCACCGCCGCCACAAGCATGCATGCCAGTGGCCACGACGACCACGTCGCCGACGTCATTGGAAGCGACAAGGCACGACCAGGTGACTACCAGTACCCCGGACCGTCGCCGTGCCGGAAACAGGCCCAACAATCCAACCACCGGCCCAAGCAGAGAGAGAGAGAGAGCCTCATCGTTTCGACCGACACCAGGAGCAGCAGCAGCAGGAGGTACCCCTCGATGACATGAAGCAGCGCCTAAGAGCATCCCTCCATGCCTGGACACAGATCCGGTGTTCACCCTCAGCCAGCTCAATCCACTGCACCTTTCTGCCTCGCACACATATGGATCCGCAGACATGGCAGTAAGCGGCACAGTCTCCCTGTGAGGAGCCACTCCGAGTCCCAGCGCATCCAGGCAAGCCGAAGAGTTGGGCAGTGCCGCGGTGCCGCCAGTGTTGATTAGATTCGGAGCATGCCACTTCGGAGGATCTTGGGGGTCGCGTCTGGCACGGCCGGCTAGGCTGTGGGATACTGCCCAGTTGGAGTTTTTGTCACTTCTTTGAGTGGAGAGGCCATCCGAAAATCAGTCCGCAGGCAGGTGCCACACGCCTTTGCAGATGTAGCTCCTGGCAGAGCTGAGAAGCACAGGTGCTGTCTTTGTCAGTGTCGCGGGCGATCGGAGATCTTTTCTTCAAAGATGACAAGTGCGCCGGACCTGTCATGCAGAAATTGGAGCTAGACACTGCTCAGCCAGCTAACCAGTTCTGTGCCAGCTAGCTTCTGGCCAGCTATCCAGCTGGCTGCTTCATGGGATGCTCGCCTTTGTGGGTTCAGTCCATCTGTTTCGATCCGTAATATGCTCAGAAGACCAAAGACCAGCAGGAAAATGCCGGCCAGGTTCACCGGTGGCATGGCCTCGGGCCTCACGGCTGACCCGTACATCCGCTCAGCAGAGGCCCGAAGCCCGCATCTACCCCGGCCTTGCGTGATGATCTTCATGAAGGGAGCATCAGTATGCTACAGTATGCTGATATGTCCGATCTGAGCTACGTACAGGAATGCATGGTGAACAAGAAGGATCAGTCGTGAGTCGTAGAGGTGGAGAGTTCAGAACGATCGAGGAGCCCAGCGAAGATCAGAATGACCGTGAGAAACGCTTGAGAACAAGACCCGTTGCGACAACGATAGAGGAAGCGAAAGCAGGCATGCGGTGAAGGTGCTCATCACACAGATGCCGCGACATGTGAGAACAACATGCGGCATGCCGGAATCACACGAGACTGGAGCAGCGCAAACAACAGGAACAGCGACTCTTCGAAGTGCATCAGCAGAAGACTTGCGTCAATGCCAGGTTTGCCAAGGTCGACTGCAACACGAGTTTCTGCTCATCGGCTGCGACGGCTTGTGGGACACGGTGTCATATGAGCAGGCCCGCGGGGCTGGGAAGGGGCGGAGGGGGGGGCATGCCATGGCTCTTGAGTTTGCAGCTTTGAAGTGCATGCACCGTCCTGGTTTTGAGGCCCGATAACAAAGGTTTGCTCGAGACATGTACTCAAACTCCGCGCTTTCGGGGTGTTCCGATGTTGGTACAGTTCGACTGCTGGGAGTCTTCGTCAAGAGGAGCTGTAGCGCGGTTAAAGTAAGCGACTTATCGTTTGTCTTGATTGGCTTGCCCGTCGAGAGACTTGAGGTTGGCATGGAACAGCAATCTGTAGCAGCATTGCCTGTGATGGTTGCTCTTACATGCACTCGTGGCTGTCCGCGATGTAAGTGGAAGGGGGAGGGAGAGCCGTGCCTCCGAGATCCTCTGTTTGGAGGCCGCAGCGCTGGTCCTGGAGAAGCTCGGAGAAGGGGAGGAGCCCCAGGCCATCAGTGAGGCAGGGTGCAACGCTACACGCGGTGAATGTAGCCACTGTGACGTTCTGCCCCAAGCTCCGGTTCGGAGAGGCACTGGTTCGAGTCGCGCACGACGCGGGATCGATGGACAACATCACGGTGATGGTCGTCGCGTTCTGACGTTTGAAGCTCACGCGCCTGCGCGCTGTTTCACACAGAGCCGATCATGGGATGGGATGCACGTTAAAGCCATGTCGTAAACCGACTTCGATCGTACACAGATTCCCGAGTCTCTTGAAGAAGTCTTGAAGGCACTGCACCTTCAGCTGACAGTTCTTTTGTTTATCAGCTTCGTTCTAGGAAGCGTGTGACTGAGTGTAGCAAACTGGTAGGACTGCGCAGTCCAGACGGCCAAAGCATGCCAAAGCCAGCATAAGCCAGCACTCCCCGAACAATTTCCCGCGGTGTAGTACAGCCGCCTTAAGCCCCGAAGAGCACTCTCGTCGCAGCCTTCGCAGCCTCAGCCCTCAGCCTGGCCAAGCCAGACGAAAAAGCTTTGCCTGCACTTCCTGCGCCACAAAAGCAGCAGGTCTCTTTCTCTCACGAACGCTACTCGCGCCGGCGACGCCAACAGAGGCTGAAGAGCGGCCAAGAAGCCCTAGGCTGTAGCGCCCATCTTTGTTGCCGAAGCCGCTACCGCCATCCGCCGCCATGCCGCTCCTTGGCTCAATCTCAAGTCATTTTTAATCCTCTCAAGTGCTCAAGTCTCACTCCTAACTCGGCTGCAGGATGTGCGAGCCAGAGAACACGGAGATCTCCCGCACCATCGAGAAGGAGCTCTTGAACCAGGCCAGGAATAGGCTAAGCTACTCAGGGACTCAGGGAGTCATAGGGAACGGTTGTCAAGCTTCAACTCAGGTTGACGAGTCTTGGGCTCTGCAGCGGAAGAAGGCGCTCAAGGACGGGGCGGGGCAGAGAGAACACGGATGGTGCTCTTCCAAGCTCCGTGAGAGGACCTCTACGTAGGCAACCCACCTCCGGTTGGCCGAACTTGCGCGGTGGAGCGTCCCGTCACACCCAAGTGGCTATTCAGGCAATTCAGGCCTCAGGCTCTGTGGCTTGCATTGCCTCGTCTCACAGGGGGCACCAGTACCATGGCATCAAGACCAAGGAGGCCTCTCTTTTGCACTGAAGTCCTAGAGTCCGTCGGAGCGGAGCCAAGAGATCGCAGTGCCCAATGCGCAAGGAGCGAGACCATCGGGTTTTGAATGAGCTTGCTGCAGAGCGTGTGGCACAAGCCAAGCAGCTTCCACCAGGTCCAGGTGGGTCACCCCCGGGCGGGCAAAAGATGCGGGAACATCTGTCTGTTGCAAAACGGGTTGCTTGCGGTACCGTCTATAAGTGAGTCTGTTTGTACAGGGAGTCATTCAACGCTGTTTCAAGCTCATGCGATGCAATGTGTTTTCAGACTTTCAGATGGTACAGAATGAATGCCAATGATGTTAATCTCAGCATTCAGTTGTTTAGACTAACAGCTCAACCAAGTCGGCTCCCTAAAGTCGCTTGGAACTAGACCGGGTTGAGCACCAAATTCATACTGCATCACGATGCTGAGCGATTTTTGCTTGACGCTCTAACAGGACTGTCGTCAATTTGGCAGCGTTTTGCTGCACGACTTCCGAACACTCTAGAAAACGGCTCTGCTGCTCTGTCACTTGCACGCCTCCGGCAAATTAGGGGGAATGTCGGCAAATTAGGGGGAATGTTGCGTAGGGTTGAGGTCTAGCGGCCTCATGGGGCATTTAGACGTCTACAGTTCAGGAAGTCGGACGGAGGAAGAGCTCAGCGAGAGCCGAGCAACACAACGCAAGGACCGCGAAGGGGTGAAGGTTTGATTTGTCTCAGTGGTTCGGGGCCTGTGCCTGAAGGACCCCCCGCCCGGCTTCGGCGGTGGCACGCAGTGACCTTGGTATGACAGTGCGGGATCGCTGCCCCGCACTCATTAACACGTGTATAGACTCTATAAATCTCCTCAGCAGGTACTTACGCAAGCAGTCCCCCTCTCTCGTTGATCACCATCACCCCCACATCAGCCTGATCATCGTTCTCACGTACCCTCCTCCTCGGCATCGTTTGCGTCGTCAGCACCGGCTTCTCACGTGGTGCTCCTGCCAATGCCAGCAGCAATCTTCCGATGCGTTGTCGCGATGGTTCTTGTGCGAAGGGACACTGCGAAGAGCACGGAATGAAAGGGCGCAAGCACATGCTGCGCTACTGCAGAGCAATGGACCAAGAACAGATTGTACGCGACTTGCGGCAACATGCGGATCAACCCTGTGCTTTCAACTGAAAGCAAGTCAGTTTCGGAGTTCAAGAACAGGCCACATGCAGTCGCTGTTAGTCACTATGCAGCTTGCTTTGCACGAATCAAGGATGCAAGACTGGGCAAAGCATATGAAGGCGCCTCTCGCCAGCAGTTTCAAAACGTGTCGACAGCGTTTGAAAGCGATGAGAGCATCACGTCACATCATGTCACAAGCCATGCCTCGACAGAAAGGCACTTTTCATTTCCCTAAGGCTACCGGGTGGCAGGAACTGGCTGGATCGGTGATGGCTAGCTCGGGGCCCAAAGTGTCTCACACATTAGGATCCACGTTGCTGAAAGCACCGCTGGACACAGCCTGCCGACATGCGGTCCGGGCAGATGTTGCGCAAGGGTTGGTGCAGAGAGAAATGCGATTCACGGCAGCGTGCTGGACGGGGTGAAGGTGGCACGCAGCAGCCTACCCTGCAGCATGCACTTTCCATGAAAGGCTCACACCAAAAACAGATGCTGTTTAGACGAGCTCGCAGCGGCAACGCAGGTCTTGTTCTTCCGCTCAAGGAAATATTTTGTGAATAACTGTCTGTTTCTCTGCGATTTGAAGCCTTGATCTTGAGTTTGCCTTGTGTGTCTATTCTAGGGGCTGTGCCCACGGGCGGGCAGCGCAGCGAGCGGCCCGGGGCTCGAGTGCACCCCCCGCCGAACGCCGCTGATCTTCAAACCGCAAACCATCTGGAACAACATGTGACAAGGACGGGGGAACTTCTCCCGCCCTCCCCGTGTCCGCAGGGCCGCACTGATGCTGATGATGCGCGCCCCGGGTCCCGGACTGGGGCCGCTGATGCTCATGATGCGCGCCCTTTGGGGCCTGGAAATCCTCGCCGCCTGCTTCTTGTCTACTAAGCTTCAATCCCCGTTGGCCAGACTCCACATGCGCCTCGAAATCCACGCCGCTTGCCTGCTTTTTACTACGTAGTGTAGTAGGACCTCAAATTTCAAGCCCCTTCAAAACACTCACCGCCCGCCAGCAGCCTCCGCTGGAACCGCCAAATTTTGTTCGAAATGCCCAACCCCTCCAAACCCCGCCTGCCTGCTTTTTACTAGTAGTTGTACAAGAGTTACAAAATTCGATCCCGGCCCAACCCCTCCAAACCCCCCAAAACACACACCGCCCGCCAGACGGCCTCAATCCCCGTTGGCCCATCGCCAAACCAGCCTCGAAATCCACGCAGCCTGCTTCTTCTTGACTAGTGTAGTAGTACTTGAATTACTTAGTTCGACCTCCATGGAGGCCTAACCCCATCCAAGCCTTCCAAAAAACAGCCGCAATCCGCGTGGAAGCCCACGCTGCTCGCCTTCTCCTCAGTAGTGGTTTCCTTGAAGCCCGCGGCGTTTGCTCCGTTCGTCTAGTAGTGTAGAGGTGTTTGAGAGGTACCTAATGCAACCGAACACCGTCCTTACCCTTCCACATCCCGCCAAACCCCCGTCAAACAGACAATGCACGCCAGCCCATCAAACCCACTCCCGGTGCACCCTGACCGAACCCTAAGCCTTTCAAATTCTGCTTGTTTTTTCTACAAACGTCCCTCCTAGCGTTTTCTCTGCCACTTTGTTCTTTGCTTCTTGTTCTTGATGTTTCCGTTTCGTGATCGTCGAGCGTGCGTGCTTGGCTGCTTGCTGCATCAGGCCGCGCTTTTTTTCTTCTGCCGTTTGGATTGTACGAACTGACTACGCTCTACTCGAAACGAATGCTTGCATTGTCTGCGGGCGTCGATCTTGCCATCTGTCTTGCTGGATTTTACAGTGGTCTTGCATATTGGGCATCGGTACGTGTAGAGTGGAAGTAGTGTCGGGACATTCGGGACCACTTTTCCAGCCTTTACGGTAAGCCTGTGCTGGCAGCTGGAGTTGACTCGCGCATCCGCTCGCCCGTCCCGTATGTTCCACTGCACGGCCGCTTGGCAGTGTGGGCATCGGTACGTGTATGTTTTCCCGACAACTTTGCCGTCCTTGACGTACACCCGATGTCCGCACTGTGGTTGTCCGTCCTGCGACGCGGCTTCCTTCTTGTCTCTTGTGTCGGTGCGGCCGTCGCGAACATTTCAGTACGGTAGTCATAGTTCAATATCCAAGGTTTCTCTGGGGGTCGAAGGCAGTGGCGGCAGCCATTAAATCGGGCAGCGCTCGGTCCCCGAGCGCGTGCGCCCGACTGATCCGAGCCTCTTGCGACCCGTAGCTTTGCTAGCTTTGCTTTAGCAAAAGGCGCGACCGCCGGTGCCGCCGACCCCACCTAATTTCGAGCTTTTTGTGAGAAGAAAAGAGGCAGGCGGCGCGTGCGGCGCTGCGGAGGGAGATGAAAGCGCCGGGAGTGAGGGCGAGTAGGGCGCTGTGGGGCGCTGAGTGAAAGTGGGGTACACACCGGGATCGGGGCCGTCTGGCGCGCGGTGTGTGTGTTTGGGGGGCGCCGTCTGGCGGGCGGTGGGTGTTTGGTTGGAATTAAGTAACTTAAGTACTACTACACTAGTGAAGAAGAGGCAGGCGGCAAGGAGGGAACCCGGTCAAACATCTGTAGATCGACCCGGTCAAAGTGATGATGCTCAATGGCAAAGAAATCACGTCAGTCACAACCGTCACAATCATCGAGAAGTTGACGAAGTCACGTGCAAAAGCACGACAAACACGGCGTCTCCAAGCACTTCATCATCTCAGTTCAGCGGGCTACCTTGGACGTGGTCAGGTCAGTGTTCGTGATCGACCACTAACGGCAGAGGAACGAGCATCGATCACCAGACCAGCGGAACCCAAAGGTCCACCGCCAAACCGGGGAAATGCCAACAGATGGATCGATAAAGGCAAGGGCGAAGGCAATAACCCAGAAAATCGTGAGCGTGAACGTGACCGCTATCAATGTTGGCACAGGGACAATACGCAGCGATCCTCCTTGCGAGTGCCGACGGTCACTGTTACTCAGCCAGCACTTGTGACACAGGCATCTTCGATGTGGTCTTCATCACTTTGCCGTTTTCTTCGGTGACTTTCTGATCCTGATATGTCATTTTCGGGGGATCCTTGCTGATGAAGTGAAGTGCCACAACGTTTGAAGGCCGGGAACAAAGGCTCGTTACAAAACATTTCGCAAGCAAAGTTGCGGCGACATTTACTTCCGTTTTCGCAATCGCGACCCTGTTTCTGTGTGAGTACTGCCAAAGGCGCAATCATGGGGGGTGCGAACGGACCTCGATGCCTCGTCCAATTCGTTAGGTGTGACGATAAGAGCTGTGAGCAAAGGTGACACAGGCTTACCCAGCAGACTGATGATGCCAACATTCCTGTTTTGCAGAATGCACAATCCCTTCGAGTGCTCCGCCTCAAACACAACTTTGTGGGTCAAGAAACTGCCATATGCCAAGATGCACAGACCGTCAGCTGAGCATCACCTTCCCCGAGGAAAAGATAGCTTCTGGCCGAGTGCCTGCAAGGGATAATGGTAAGAGCGAAACCCGCGACGACTACTACCACTACCTCAACAATCAGGCAGCCACATCTCTTTCAACTAGCTCTGTGAGGTAGGCGACCAAGGGAACATCATTTACAAACCCTCACGCGCAGAGGCCTATACACACAGCAAAACACACGCCGCCCGCACATCAAGGTGACCCCATACAAGCTGATGTGTACACCCAGAAGTGGACGTCAACCCCTTGGAACATTGATCAGCTAAGTCGGGACTGAGGTCGGGACAAATGGCATTCCGCAAGTAACGGCATACGCAAAGCGCGGAAAGATCGACAGCACATGTGAGCTCAATTCGCAACAAACCCCATGTAACCGCAGCTGTAGATAAGCTCTTTTTTGGATATTTTTCCGAGAAGAAATTGCTTGAAACACCATGGTACGGCGACAATGTGGCACTGTTGCCACGGGAGCGAGTTAACGCAATCACATCAGCGCGAAGAGAAACAAATCATCCGCATGTGGACACTGAGTCAGGGCATGCGTACTAATTAGCACCTGAGATGCAGACACCGAGCTTGGATGTCCGAAGCCGGCTGCTCACAAAATTACACCGAAATCCAAGTTCCGAGCATTCCGAAGCTTTCACCGCCCGAATACGGCCGAAATCTGTGTACCGAGCGTTGACGTTTATGTTTGTTTGCAGAACCGATTCAGTCGTTGCATTTGTTGGGTTTTGTGCGTCCCCCGAAAGGCGATGCGGGTCGCGGCAAAGTCCTTGCATTTGCTCCGTTCTGCAAGTAAACACCGCCGCCAAAGTGTTAACAAAACACGTGTTCCAGACAGCTTATTCGGCTTCTTCGTCAGTTCCACTAGTTTACGCCGTCGCAGAAGGTGGTTAGAAACATATAGCACAGGCAGGCGATTTGTCCGTTCCGCAAATATACGCCGCCAACATGGTTACAAAACACATTTACTTCACACAGTGTATTTGTCAGTTCCACAAGTACGCCGTCGCCGAAAGTGTTGCAAAGCTCATGGCACCGGCGATGTTTTTGTCTGTTCCGCAAGTGCCCGATGCCGCCGAAGTGGTTACAGAACTGATATTGTAAATAACTTATCGCCAGTTCCGCGGATGGACGCCGCCGCCGAAAGTGTCACAAAGCTCAGCCACAGGTGCACGATTTG